TGTTTATTTTCACTATATAATAATTTACTTAACATATTTTGTATGATGGTGAATAATCACAATCACAAAATAGTGAATTTAATTTTATTAAATATTAAGTTCAAACAATGCCAAAGTATGTTATGTCAGAAAATGTAACAATGTGATTAATATTTTGCAACAAGACCGAAATTAATATTCATGAATTTGAAGTGTTTCTTTTACAAAGGAAAACATAATTTTTCAATTTAAAATTAATGCGTTAATATTTTAACATAAAGTTATCTTTCTTTTTTATTCAGTTTAATCAGTATCTTTTTTACATAGGCTATTGTATTTTTTTAAAATAAGTTTTTCATTTTAAATATTTCTAACTTCGAACCAATGTTTTTTTTTTATTTTTGTAAATTATTTATAATCACCAAGGCTACTTTCATTAATTTTCTCCTTGATAGGAGGAATACTGATGATATGTTTACACCTTTTAGAAGCTTAGAGACACACCCGCCCATACACATGGGGAGTACGTATATTTTAAGGGTTTATTTGCACATTTTCTTGTTCTTTTTAATTAATGGATCCTCATTATGCTATTCATTACTCTCATGTTGGGAAAATGAAGTAAAATTGAAAAAGTCAATTAAAGTTATCAAAGAATACTTTCTAACATATTTGGTGTTTTTGTTTTTCGACTTATTAATCTTTTGAGATATTACGTATCCGAAATAGGACTAAAAGAGTTTGAAAATTTCAAAATAGGAATGTCATGTTTTTATTCTCAAAATAGAACTAATTAGGATGTTTTTACTTGGACTGTAATTTGCTGGTCTGGTCTGGTCTGGTCTGAACTGGTCTGGTCTGGTTTCTTTGTATTTTTATAATTATCCAAGTCTGGTCTGGTCTGGTTTGGTCTGGTCTGGTCTGGTTTGGTCTGGTCTGGTCTGAACTGGTCTGGTCTGGTCTGAACTGGTCTGGTCTGGTGTGGTCTGGTCTGGTTTGATCTGGTTTGGTGTGGGACAAATTACAGTCCAAGTAAAAACGTCCTTACTACCAAATTTTGGCAGTACCAGACTTCAAACATGTTAGTATTTTCTAAACATGACAGTAATTAGTCATATTTTGGGAATAAAAAACGTGACAGTCCTATTTTAAAATTTTGAAACTGTATTAGTCCTATTTCGGGAACTTTCCCTAATCTTTTCAGTCAAGTTTTTAACGAAATACATAACTTTTAATTTCCACGCTGAATTGTGTATAATCAAAATAAATAAAGTTGGAATTATGTTTCAAACTGAATTAACTGAAGTGAGTTTAGAGAACTATTTTTATTTATACACATATTATTTCTCTTTATTTTCCTAATAAAATATATTTTAAACATTATTTATTATTTATTCATAATTAAATAAATTTAGTCAATTCAAACTCTTCAACTTGACCTTGTTTAATGCCACTTTAATTCAGAAGGAATTAATGAACTAAATAAATTTTAGCTTACCGATAATGCTCTATAAATTTTCATTAATTCTATAAATTTTTAGTTTGAAAAATAAAAAGAGATGTGGAAGGAAGCGGACAAAGTAAAGTGTTAAAAAGATTGAGCTGCATGCTCCCAATCTTGTCCATCAATCACTGGCTCACAAGTCACACCCGCAATAGGATTCTCCTTCATCGAATTGTCCTATCCTTTGCATGTTAGACTTCTATTGTCACGTCAAATCATCATAATAACTCTCCCTATTGCTCCCTCTTCCCTTTTATCATTTCTCATCAAATTCCATACGACTTTTATAATTAAAACATTCCATTATATTCCTAAATAGGGTGGAACAAAATTAATCAAAACCCAATAATCATACTGAAAAATACAAACATTAAGGTCTTTTCCGTTAACAGTACTCGTTTTTAAGAAACTAAGGTAGTATGATACTATGATTAGACGATTTATAGAAGTGTACAGGTACCATTCAGAAAATGTGATGGTCTATTTTCGGTCAACAATTTTTTGTGTACACCATCATGTTGTGAAAGTTTTTTTGTTTATGAATTCCAGTCCACAAACAAAAACTGACTTGTTTTATTTGTGCAAAATTTCATAGACACAACAAACCAGATTTTGTCTGTGGACTGAAATTCACAGACAAAAAAAAACTCTCACAGTCACGAGGGTGTATTAATGTTTATAAGAAGGTGTTGTGTACAAAAGAAATTGTTCATTTTCGGTTACTTTTTTTATTGTATTAAATGTTGATGGTATGCTAATTTTAATTGTTCAAAAAACAATTCTATAGACGATACATTTCTGGCTTAAAGTGTTGGGAAAAAAAACTTTGGTATAACAAAACTAATCTACTTATTCCGTAAGATCTGAAACTATTTTGCATTATCAAATATGGTTGAGCAACTCATAATTCTGAATTGGATAGAGCTCGAATTATTAATTTGAGATTAAATTTTGATTTTTTATTAGAAATTTGGGATGTGCTAAACTATATTTACGTGCTCAATCATTCTCATTGATTTTGTAAGAATAAACATATACGGAGTACAATTTGGGTTTTCAATTTTAAATGCATTTCTAATTAAATATATTTAATTAAAAATGTGACATATCCCGTTCAAAAAAAAAAGAATTTGAGATATCCATAACTTCAACGATAGACATTTTCTCTTTTGGGTATGTATTTTGCCGGACAATAAATAATTGGACCAACGGAAAATTAATACGGAGTATATGAGTAAAAAAGTGTCAATGCAACGGTAATCACTAGTGGAAAAACGGAGATTAGAGGCGCTTCTGAACAAATGCGTGCGAAGCTTCGAAGCGCCTCCGATTATTCCGCCGCAAACGCTGCATTGAAGGCGCTTCTTATGTAAAAGTGCCTTCAATTTTTTTTAATTTAATTGTTTAATTCGAAGATTTGCGCCGCTTTATATACAATAAGCGCCACACGCCCGGTAACTTACATCATTATTTGCGGCGCTTTTAACATTACAAGCACCTCTTTAATGTATAAAAGAATCACACATTAGAGACGCTTTATTTGTAGAAGCGCCTCTAATTTCAATTTAAAAAAACAAACTTTTTAATTATCAAATATCCTGCTTGAAAGACATTACATGCACATTCTTTCATAAACTCCATATTAAACGTACAATCAAAATTCAACTCCATAAAAGTTCAAATATTCCAACACAATCAAAAGAAATTACATTAACATCTTCAAATGTCTACGAATCCTACATATTCATAATGTCATCTACAAAAAACTAGCCCACACATTTCTGATTTCATCAAACTCTTCCTTCGAATATGGTTGAGTTCTTGAATTCCAAACCTGAAAGCAATGATAAGAACATAAATAAAATGGATAATATTAAACAAAATTATATATAAATACGTTATTTGTGAAAACCACTTGTTAAAGTATATAAGTAAAATACATGTCCAATATCAGAACTTCCAACATAAGATATTACTTCCCACATAATCTTCATGACATAATACCCACATTCTATATTGCCCGTTTGTCTTGTACACTTTAAATTTATGAAAAATATACAACATTATTACATAATAATATAATTCTGTCAAATAACTCTCTTTTTTTAAAATAAGACATACATAATATATATAAATAAGAGTAGATATCACATCAAATGTACCTTGATGTCATGTCACCTAATTGATTTGCCTCCACTCTTTTGTGTGGAAGCAACCTTATACATCCTACAATGTCAACTCAAAATGTGCAATAAACAATACTAGTACGGAGTATATTTTATTTGCTACGTGCATATAAATACTTTAGCAACTAAAACAAATATTCTATACTTTTCGAATAATAATAAAAGTAGTTTTAATAATAATGGCATTATAAGCACTCTAACAAAATTCAAAAACAAAGTCCAACTAAACTAATCTAATCACATTGACAAAATCCCTAACAATAGAAAACACACTTCTTCCCTAATAATTACACATAATATAATAAAAAAATATACTGAACTTGGATTAAATATACTTTAATAAAAAAAAATCAAACTAAAATCAAATACAGATTAAATTAACCATATATGACAAGAAAGAAGAAAGAAAGAAAAAACCGACCTTTAATTTATCAACGCAGCAGCAGACCGGAACAGTCGACGGTGAGCCGGCACGGTCGATGGCGAACAGTGGCATGGGGCGGCGGTGTGCGGCAGACAACAGTGGGCGCCGGAATGCAGTCGACGGGTACGGCTGGTCTTCAAATCAGTCGGCGGCTGCTGCAGCTTCGATGGGTAGAGTGGCCGGCCGGGTATCTCGTCACTGCGTTTTCAGGTCCTGCGGGTTGATGCGGCTTCGACGGGTAGAGCTGCCGTCCGGGTATCTCGTCGCTACGTTTTCAACTCCTGCGGCCAGGTAGCTTCGACATGTACGATTGAACTCGAAGTGGGTGCTGGTAGGGTTGCGTATTACTACGTCATTGAAGCGATTGAAACAATTGGGAGACGCTTCTAATTTTAAGCGCCGCACTCCTTCGAATTTAAAAAAAAGGTCCGTAAAAAATAAATTGGAAGCGTTTGAGTTAAAGAAGCACCACACGCCATCGGATTAAATAAAAAAAACCTCTGTTTGACGTTTTTCGACTAGTGAATGGCACTCTTTTAATTGGTGCATACGTAGTAATTAGTATTATACCAACTTAGGTTTACAACATGGTAATATTTTAAATTCATTTATTTTATCCACAAACAATTCACAAAACACTTTTACTTATATACCACTGGCACGTGCTTTATCCATTCTTTAATTCCAATATTTTAATGTTGCACTATATCTGCTTTGACTATAATTTTTTGCTACTCCCTCCATCCTCCTGATATTGGGACGGAAAGTAGTGTGATTTTTAAGAAAAATAAAATTATATAATCGATAGTGAATTTGAATATGGTTACCAAATGTTACCAAATATGGCAAGATAGATTTACAAAGTTTAGTGCCATATAAACCATCAAACGTGTGAAACCATCGTGAATAATAATGTTTTCTTTTCCACGGTAAAATAGGATATTAGTATGATATATAGCGTTTAATTAAGAGTAAACCATCAAATGTAAACCACTTGATTAATCGGTTTCTAATTAAGGATGCAATCCAATGATATTTATAAAAACAAAAAGAGTCAAGTTATGGCCACCGGCTATGTTACATATAGTGTAGATCTAGCCGGAAAATGATCAACAAACGGCCGGAAGGCTAATTACGTTACGTTAATGATCAATAGTGGTGATGACAATGGTGGTGGTACATCGACGAAGACGGGTCGACGCTACTGTTTTCCGATCTCCGGTGATCATGACTGCTACTGCCACCACTACTGTCGACCGCCCCTAGGTTTAGATACAGCATTCTTGAATCATCAAGGTTTTGGTTTTGGTTTTGGTTTTCAACGATATTTCCACTGCTGGTGGTGCACGATATCCGGCGGTGATGATCATCGTTCATTTGTGGGTATATGACTGTGGATGAGGTGTTGCTGTTGCTGCCATTACCTGTCCGTCACGTTTTATAAATAAGTACGAACACCAAAACTTTGTAGTAGTAGAACTTCAATGCTTCACAAAAAGTACTACTCAGGTCAAAGTATTCATGAATGCATTCTCCATTCAATTGGTGCGTTAGTTAGTTGAATTGGCTATCCATGACCAAGGTGAGGTACTTTTTAGGAAGGAATACCTTGGTCCAAAAGGTTGAATATAATGTCCAACCCCAAGGCCCCCACCCCGACCTGACAGAATGGTGGGGAGGTTAATCACGGTGACTCAGCCAGCAAAGCGGCGGTAGACCTTATACACGTGCGCACCAGAGGTTCAACCTTATTTCAGGTTCTGTAACCTCCACACGCCCGCTGCGGGTTTCGAACCCTGGTCACTTGGTCCAATTTTCCCACCACTCGACCAACTGAGTTACCCGTGCGGGTAAAGGAATACCTAATCTAAGACCAACATATACAAGGATATCATGTAAAAATGTGACTAAGTAATTTTAGTGATAATAAATACTAATCGGCAGATTCTAGTGAAATTTAAGAAGTTGTGGTTGAAGTGGCTGTATTAGCCGATTCTAATGATTTATGTAAAAAAATTATGTTAAAAATATATTTTATTAATAAAATAAATAAAAACCTATATGAAAAATAGGTAAAATGGTGATCTACACTAACTTCAGCCAATACAATCAGAAAACTAGATTCAATCTTACTTTTTCTAGTTATTACATAATTCAGCGCGCGAAATCCAAAGTTACGTGTTCAACTAAAAAATTGGTTGATAAGCTTGATAACCTGATTATAAAATTATTCTAGTACTATCTATTGATAATAGGTTACATTTTCATCAAGTTATTTTATAAATTTAATTATATTTAGAATAAGCTTCTACAATCTTGGGACAAAATAACAATATTATTGAAAAAGAGTGTCAAATTGGCCGGGCATATATTTCCCAAATAGATTACTTCATATTTATGCATATGAAACATTTCACACACCATTCTACAAAAAAATTGTTGTCTCAATACGACCATTTCATTTCACTCTAAGCAAAGTATCATATGGCATACACCATTTTTTAATCTTAAAATCGACAAAAGAGCATATGGGATGTTCTAAACACGGAGAGAGTACGATCATTGTTGAATATTATTAATTAAAACCAAAGAGTCAAAGTAAATCATACTCTGTATTGATAATGTAATGTCATTTACTTGTATCTCAAAAAGAACATAACATGAATTATGTGTGGTAAACATACATTAAATTCCAATGAGAGGAAAAAGACTCATGCAAGACGTAAACGACAAAAAATAGCGGGTTCTCCGAAATGATAAAAGGCTAAAGAGGCACCATTAATATAATTTCAGACAGAATCTAATTTAATAAATGTAGTAGGCTCATCTATTAAAATATTACTTTAATTTCTTAGATCACTCTAAGGTATTGAGGAGTATCACATATATTAAGTTGTCTTTTATATAAAAATATCCAAACAGTTCAACTGTATATGGAATTATAATTAACGTAAAAAACAGATCACGGGAACAAAAACAAGGACTGCGCTAAGGATTAGGTGCATGTTTAAAAATATTTAGTTTCTCAAAATAATACCCCATAAATTATAAAATTAACCCTTCAAAAAGATAATAATTTTTACATACATACAAACACACACTCACTGACTCACACACAGACATATAGAAATATATACATATACATATGTATATATATAGAACTTTACATATATGTACATATATATATTACAGAATTGTATAATAACTTGATAAGTAAAGTTTTCATATTAGAAATTAATTTTGACCATGTTAATTATTTAAAATTTATATTAAACATTTTTTTTACACAAATACAATATAAAAAAAACACAAAAGTGTATGTATATGGAAGCCAATTAATTGAGCTAGGTTCATAAGATTTTCATCAATATTTTCATCTACCTTTTGTACTACACCTTCCGTATCACTTTAGTTGTCCTATTTCTCTTTTCGGATGTATCAAATTAATTGTCTCATTTCACTTTATGAAAAGAAACTTATTCAAAAATAAACTACAATACTGCTACATACCAAAAATCTTTTGCTTTTTGTAAAGTCTATAGTAATTATATTAAACTCCATGAAAAGCAAATGAGACAACTAGAGTGATACGAATGGAGTAATAAATTTCTTAAGATGGAAAAAGCGCATCTTTAATATAAAATATGAAACGTGACAAAAAAGAGTTAAACACATAAAACTTAATAAGTACTATCCTCCATATCATAATAGTTGCAACATTTGAATTTGCACACTATTCATGTACTCTACTTTGACTACATTTTATTTATTAATGTATGTGAATTATTATTTGTTTGAAAAATATTATTGAATTTGTCTCGTTACGAAGTTTCATAATCTGGTTTTTAAAAGTTTTTTACTATTAGAGAATTAAATATAATTACGGTCAAAGTTGTGCAAAAGGGAAAAAATCTTCCTTATTTAAACGGCAATACATATTTTTGAAAAAAAAAATCTCTTCCTATCAAAAAATCTATATATAGACAATGTGGATGACACTGTTGAAAAAAAATCCAAACAAGTATTCCCTCCCTCAAACAAATATTTATTAAATTTCATATTTTATTGTCATCAAAAAACTTGAATAGTTCCTTTTAAAGTAATAATAAAAATTTTGTTAAAATTATTTTTGTTTCATCTGTACAAATCTCAATCCTACATTTTATTATCTTACTTCCTCCATCCTAGAATGATTTGCAAAATCAACATTTTTAGTCAACCAATGTCAAGTTAAATCCTCTCTACTGATAACTAATTCAATTTTTTATAATTAAAATTTACATATTCAAAACAATATTAAAATTTATATAGAATTGTAAAATCTAAATTAGAATATAATTAGAAATTGATATCCAAATTAAATAAATAAAATGGAATTGTTTGACAAAAAAATTGATTATGTCATTAATTTATCTTTGCGTGTTTATGCACATTGTTTTCATGATATATATGCACATGTAATTATGCGCATTGTTGTGATCTTAATGCCCGTTTGGTGACTCTATTTTTTGATTTATCAGACATCTTTTTAATCAGATACGTAACTTTTATGGCTGTATTAATAATGAATTCTGTAATAATAAAAAAAAGTAAGTTTGAAGTTAGTTTTATGGCTGTATTGATTGAAGTTAGTGTAGATGGTCCTTTTAGTTTTTTTCAAAAAAAATCTTTATTTTATTAATAAAATATATTTTAAATATTTTTTTTAATAAATTTGCAGAGTTAGCCAATACAACCACTTCAGCTAGAACTTCATAAATTTTAGTAAAATTAGCATATTCAACAAAACGTGATCTTAATTTCTATACAGATGAGATAAGGGTAATATTCTAGCGTCATTTTTTTATCCAGTGTCTTTTATTTGACTTTTGACTTTCCTAGTATTGTATCCGTCTAATCCATGAAACGACATAAGTAATCTTATTTTTTCTCTGTATTATTTTGCTAAAAATAAGTTCAAAAATTATTACAACACAAAAAATTACAAATTTTTGATACTAAAAGAAATTGTCCAAACAGTGCGAAACAGTGCCAAAAAGTGTCCAAACAGTGTATAAACGGTGTTTTCTACAATAAAGTGAATTTATTTCCTTAATAATCGTGAAGTCAAATCGTGATTTTCTTTTGGAAACAGGGAGAGTATTTTCATAGACGCGTATATTTAGTGTAAAAGCATTTTGCAGCATAATATGCGCTTCTTTTTAACCTTTAATTTACAATGTTCGAAGTTATTTATATCGCATAAACTGCTCGGTGATAGTAAAAAAAATTACTAATATAGAATACATTTTGCTTATTGTGTCATTCGTGTTAGATTGCACTTGATAAACTTAAATTGTTAATTGACTTGATACTTTGACGTTCAATGATTTCACTTCTGAAACAAATTGCTACCGGGTATTAGTTTAACTTTTGTAATTAACAATTATGCAGTGATTTTTAAGATTATACATCTATTAATTTTAATGTTACTCGGATAGTATATAAATGAAGAACTGCCGGTTGTTTTTATATACAGGAAAGTATATATAGATTTATCTTTTCTTTTGCCTATTTACTTTATTTACTTCTTTGGGGAGTTGAGTGAAAAACAATTATCTTAAGCTATTTATACCTTCTTCGCGGGAGATAACGGTGACGGCAGACTGGACGAGCTCGAGGCATAAGCGGAGCTTGTTTGGCTCAATGTGGGCCAATCCAGGGATCGCCCCTTTGAACAAGAAATCAGAAGTTAGGGTTCGGAGGATGTCTAACGGCGTGATTCCGTTAGCTGTGCTAACGTTCGGGTCGGCATGGTGATCCAACAGAACTGCCACCATATCCGGCGACACCATCTCCGCCGCAACGTGAAGCGGCGTTTTCCCCGCCGGCCCGGCCGGAAAGTTAACGTCGGCGGCGCCCAGCTCAAGAAGCGTCTTCACAACCTCACGGCTGCAATTCTGGACGGCGTAATGTAACGCCAGTGCTTCGTCAAGATTCAACCCTTCTCCCATCACCATGAGCTTGACGAGCTCCACGTCGGAAGAGTCAAGCGCCCGTCTCATGCGACGGATTCTTTGGTCGTCGGTATTTGCGCCGCCGCCGAGGCCGTGGCGGTGGTGTGGAACTAGGGAGGTTCCGGTGAGGGAGGATTTGTGGCGGAACTCTTCTATCTTTGCGACGATGTCGATTGGGAGGTGTTTGGCGAGGAGTTCGGGTGGGAGAGCAGATTTTGCAACCAAATGGGCGCATGTAATCCAAAGCTCTGGCATTTCTTGCTTTCCAGAGAATACCAACACTTTCATCACATCATCCATGGAAGCCTTCTCCACCATGCTCATCAGTTGCTTCTAGAAATGCCAAAAAAAAAAAACCAACATCAACATCAAAAGGACCCATAAATTAAACATCAATTCATGTTCTACACATTTTATGTTTACACACTTGTGCACATTGTCTTTGAAGGCTATTTTTTCCCGTGACAACGTGGTTTGTCTACCGCAGACAAAACACGTTTTATCTGTGAGACAAACAAAAAACTTTCATAGATAGTGTGTTTAAGTATATAAACAGTAAAAATGTGTACAAAAGACTTTTTATATCCAATTTGTAATCTTTTACTTTTTATATCCTTTTTTATCAAATTTAATTTTTCTTGATCAGGTAATATGGACTATAAAACTTTTAATATAGTTTCAAAATATGTAAATTTTATTTAATAAATTTTTTTTTATTAATGACAGAGATCGGTTGACTTAATGGTAGGTATCCCATCAAAACCTTTAAATGGATGGAGGGAGTATTTTTTTCTGCACTTACAAGATAAAATTTGGCACTAAGAATTGAAGTATGGGAGTTGCAAAAACTTGTAAATTAAAGACAAATTTACATTCACAATTAGGAAATGTGAAATGCCGTGATCTTTAAAAACATGACTAACACACACAATTAGGAGTATATGAGTCCCTAAACAAAACTTGTAGTTTAAAGAACATAGTTCTGTTTCACTTCTTGAACTGCGATTATTATGTAAAGCAAGTTGCCTACGGCCTACCGTTGTATTTTTGTTAATTATGTGTAGCACATTAAATTGGTAAGATTTTTTAAAGAAGTAGTGTAATCTTTTTTTAAAGATATACCAATAATATGTACTCCGGTAAAAACTTTGGTATGAAGGTATTAGTTATGTAGTAATTATGCACTACGTACTTCGTTTAATCTGAGCCCTCGGTCTACAATGACCTTTAGCCATAAAACGTTTGTAAATCAATTAATTCGTCAAACATTATTTGTTATGCTTCTAGCTCATAGCGGTAGAACGTACATTAATTAGTTACTAAACCTTATACGTAATTTAACTATCTAGCTAACTTTAATCCAATAGGGTAAAATTTAACAAAAGATCATTGAAAGAGAAGACGTCACAAATGTGACTGGGGAGAGTGGACCAAGGTTGAGGAAGAACACGAGAAATGAGGAGGTGTTCTATAATTTTGACTTAACAACGTAACCTTAATGATTTAATATTTTGTGTGTGTAAAGGAGAATAACTATAAGATTGTGTGTCATTGTTAAATCATGTATTGGATATAATACTACCTCCGTCCCGCTATGATTGTCCCGTTTTAACTTATCGGTCTGTCCAACAAAGATTGTTATATATCAAATTTAGCAAATTTTTGTAGGTCCAAATCATTCTTCCTTTATCAATTCAATATCAACCACATAAACTAATTTTTATTGATTTGCGTGTCACTCCCTCCTATTCTGGGAATTCTCTTCGATATTTCAACAATTAAAAATGTGATTAAGTGATCATCTAAAGAATTATGATCGAACTTGAAGCGATATGTGAAGTTTGAATAAGATAATCCTATTCAATGGGGCATGCCTTTAGCCTTTGGCCTTTGGAGGTTGGTGTCATGTGCCAACTTAAAACTTGAATGATCTAATTGAAAAGTGAAATAGATGATCACGATCAGTCGATCACCAACCCCTTACAATGTGATACGGAATATCTTTTTATATGTATCGTGCGGTCAATCAGAACCTTATTCTATACGGAGTATGATATTTTTATTTAGAGTGGTTTCACTTTCAGTTTATACTCTTAAATCATATCAATTCTGCTTTTAGAATTGATTTATTTTCAAAAAAGAAAATGAAACAAATAATTTGATACGTCCCAAAAGGAAAATTGCGACACATAAACTGATACGGAGGGAGTATAATTTTTGGATACAAATAAAAAAGAAACAGAAATGAGGTTAGCTTAGAGATATAAAATTTGATCACCAAAGCAAGTTCTACACATAAGAGTTTGAAGAGTAGTATATATGCAAACTGATTTCATTATCAACAAAGTAATTAGAGATTAAAAATAGTAAATGACTCTTTAACGTAAAAATAATAAGGAATTAATAGTAATGTACATAATGCACTCTTTAATGTTCTCTTTTTAAGAAATAATAATAGAATAATAGTAATGTACATAAGTAAGACTATTCTTTTATTGCTCTGTTGGTCCAAATTTAAAGTTCTCAAATTCTCCGTAAAATTATTGCATCTTCATTCTCTTTAAATCTATGATTTTATGTAATATTTTCTAATCATTTTCGAATTTTGTTTGGATGGTATATTAGAGCTTGTACGAAGTTCTGCACATATAAATTTTAATTATAAATACTATGGTAAACATATTATTGCATTGAGGAAGTGCAAAAAATATTACCTCCATCTCATCAACATTTGAACATGAATGTTGTACGGTTATTAAAAAAAGATTTTATACTTCATGTATGTTAGTAAATTAACAAAATAAAAATAAAGTAAGAATGATTTAAAATCACTCAAAGTTTTACAATGTGGTTTGGGACAATCTTAGTAGGGTAGACCAAAAAAGAAAAAAGAAAGAAACAATCTTATACAAAGTTATTTTTTGTAACCACAAACAACAATAATAATGGTTATAATAATAATGGTTATAGTTATAATCTTAAAAAAAGTCCACAATTTCAGTTTTTAAATTAAAAAATCTAAAAGTTAGTGGCCAGTTTGCATTTGTTTATAGACTTGTCCTAATAGTTGACTTGAGAATGTGCAGTGTAGTATTATTTGGTCGGACACTACATAATTTTGTAAGATGATAATTAAAGAGACTGCCTCACTGTAGATCATAAAGGGGATCTCTGAGACCCCGAGTCATAATACGGAGTACCAAGTAATATTCAAAAGGATGGATTTTACATAAAATCAATCAAACAATATATGCTGTCATATATATGCACCGACATAATTTCGAGGGCCATGTTTTTCAAGAATTCTTTCCAGAAAATAGAAACTGTGATTCCTGTAGCTAAAAGCCTAAAATATGTTAACAAAATCTATAACAACCAGTTTCCTGGATATTAATTAATTAATCTTTATGAATAAAATGATTTCTTAAACCCATAAAAATTATGGAGTACGAACCTGAGTGAGCACAGCGAGCTGGTCGACGCCAAAAGATCTAGCGGCTGTTAGAGTGTCTAGAGCAAGATCAACGGCTGAGGTGCAATGCCCGTGCCAACACCCTAACTGCCTACAGTTGGAACGAGGCTGGTGTTTCTGCGGCACAACAGAGACTTGTCCGCTGTACATGAACTGCAACATCAGCAGGAACACCTCGTACCCGACGGAGTTCACGGGAATCACTTGCGGGATCGAGCGCCTCGGGGATGCCGACTCGCCTGATCCCGCAGGCGAATCGGGGCCGCCTCCGCAAAACAGTTTGCGGAAGAAGAGGCTGCGAGCTGCCAAGATGCATCTGTGGGCATGGACCAGCCGGCCCTCCACGCTGAAGGTCACATCACTGAAGGCCTGGCCGTTGATGAGTAGATTTAAGTAGTCTATGGAAAGAGATCTCAGTGACTCTTCTACTGTACTCATAATCCCAAAAGGATATGATAGCAGGAAGATAACTTATCTGTTTATAAATTTAACAGTGAGTGTGGTCCTGGAAATATGAGTGGGTATGTATATATATACATATGGCACTTGGTAGATGGGAAAAAGATGAGGAAGAGAAGTAGAATAAGAAGATGGTGAGATATGTTGGGTAGCTAACTAGCTCTAGCTTGGGGATGAATAATGAATGCTAGAAGCCTAGGTAGATGCATGTTTTTTGTTTCTTTTGGAGTCCCTAATAATTAGTTCAAGTTTTCTTAGTTGAGGAGTTGTTTTCACGGTTGCCTCTTGCTTAAATATCGTTTCCACTTTCCACTTATGTTCTATGGTTTTAATGCACCGAACCACCTGTGATACGGAAATTCGGCACGTTAGTCCTTGTGATTTAAAAAATGCGTCAAGCTCATTTTAATCATTCACAGAACCCTTTTTATGAATAAATTTAACAATTTCAAAATCACTTTTCCTAATATTCTGATTGAATATGCAAGTAAATATGTCAAAATCTCTAAATCATAAAAAAACATGTTAATCATTTTTCTTTTATTTGACAATTGAATTTATTCACAAAAGGAGTTCTGTGCATGATTAATTAAAACACAGGGGGATTTGACGCATTTTTTAAATCACAAGTGATTAATGCGCCGAATTTCCATATCATAGAGGAGTTTGGTGCATTAAACCTATGTTCTGTATCCATGTGGATGCGGTAATTCTCTTGGGCTTTTAGAGTTGAGGCTCCAATATTTTACTCTCCCCACATGGATTGGGTGGGACTGTGTGTGATCTAGGGTCTCACATACACCAAACAGTGCTTAAACGGATAAAATATCACAACATTTTAAATCTTTTATTTTGTGTATAGTTGTATACCGTATTTTCATGATCCAGACGGGTCTGATTTGATCTAGTATGATCTAATTTGTTTAAATCTGATTTGGTCTGGTCTGATTTAAACGAGTTTAATTCGATCTGGCCAATTTGAACTTGTCTAGTATCGTCTAGTAGATGTCTGTTAAACGTGTGATTTAAAATTATCGACGTCTGATGTGGTCTAATAACTTGTCTGAACTGGTCTATTTAAGTTTGAACGGATTTTTGTTACTCGCATTGTTTAATGAAAATTAAGCTTTAGATATGTGATTGTTTGAAAATTTTATCTACACAAGAATAGAACATACTCGTAACACATTATGCAAATATGAGTGTCATTGATTTCTTTCCAAAATATAACTCATCTGCTCATACTTTTAGTAATTCTTTTTAATATGACTATATAAACTTAATCATATATTTTTGAAAAAGAAATTATACAAACATATTTTAAATATCATATTGGAAGCGCGCGGTAATTTATCATTAACCAACAATTAATTGTAAACCGTATGATTATTAGAAAACAATTATAAACCGTATTACAACCTTAATATGATATGGAGAAAGTAAATAAGCTTATCGGTAATCATGAACTCTTTTTTATTGGAAGCAATCGAGGTATTAGGAATCTTGTGAATCAAATTAAGTAAGGCTCCAATTCCCATGGTGAGAAGTGAGAAGTGAGAACCTCCGGTGGAAATGTGGAATAAGTACAACTTTTTTCTAGATTTTATATATTATACTCTCTGTCCTTTAAAACTTTGTCATCTTTCCTTTTTGGGACGTTCCAAACAACTTTGCCACTTTCCCTTTTAATCAATTATTTTGTGGTTTTTGTTCTTTCTCTCTCATCTGCACAAATCTCAACCAAACAGTTTTTATTAGGAGTTTTATCAATTCAGGACCCGAAAGATAGATTAATTATCAATTCAGGACCCGAAAGATGAAACATATCAGTATAGGACCGAATGATGGAAACTATCAATTTAGGACCTAACATTTCATAGGTTTTGATTTATTTAATTTTTTATTAATTCCATTACTAATTTTTGATAAACTTTTCTTCACAAAAGTTTATTAGTTTAATAAAACGAAATAATATTTAAAATTTTTTAATAAAAAAATCATGACAACTTAGGTCCTAGATTAATAGTTTTCAATCATTCAGGTCCTAAATTGATAGTTTTTCATCATTCGGGTCCTCTATTGATGCATTTTATCTTTCAGGTCCCGAATTGATAATTAATCTATCTTTCAGGTCCTGAATTGATAAAATTCCTATTTATTATCTAATTTGTGTACTTTAAACATTATAATATTTATTTCACTAAACTATCTAATCTATTTATATTTCATTGTTAAATTTTGTATTTTTTCTTGTTTCAGTTTGCCTCAATACGTCATTTGAGACTTGTCTTCAAATTCATTAGACTGCATTTGGAATAATAAGTGATATTGATCGAGTCTATATACTCCCTCCGTTTCGATTTGTTTTTACCGAGGGATAAATTTTATTATTTTGACACTGTTTGACACTATTTTGACATTATTTGAACACTTTTTGACACAGTTTTGATAAAGTTTTTTTTGCCAAACAAGGAATAAAGGAAGTGTTAGATTCATTTCGAAACATCCAAAAAATGAAAGTGCGTCAAACAAACTGAAATACAAATTTCATTGTGATTTGTATTTCAGTGTGTAATACAAATCACAATGAAATTTAGCCACACAATTCAATGAAGTCTTTAGTGAGCGATCACTTAGAAACGTATGGTTCCTTGTTAAATTAATGTAAGATATTACGAACCTAATTGTTAATTAAGGTGCACTTCTCTTGATTTACTTATTGCAAAGGCCGTGATTGTCTTCTCAAGGATGGCTCAACCCTCAGCTCGTTCTTGGAAAATCTTCATTATACAAACAAAAACAAAATAGTTATTGGTAGTTGTACATTGCTACAAGAAGTGAGTGGGAGGGGTCTAGAGGACATAATCCACTTCATGACTAATATAGTTGTACATTTATCCGATTTAATTGAAATAATAAATTTTACAATATGTAAGTCATGACAATTGCAAAATATAAGTGTGTGAAGGATGTTGATCAGAGGATATTAATGGACGACGGAGAGATAAAAGAGAGGTGGAGGTCATACTTTGATACACTATTCAACGGGAACAAAACGCAAGATATCGGCGATATGTCCATACCAGATTGCATGGTGAACCGTGATTTTGTGAGAAGGATCCAAACAACGGAAGTTAAAGAAGCTCTGAGGAAGATGGGATGGAAAAGAGCAATGGGGCCAGATGGCATACCGATCGAGGCTTGGAGAAGTTTGGGAGAGAGAGGCGTCGAGTGGTTGACAAATTTCTTCAACATGATTTGGAGAAACAACAAGATGCCAACGAGTTGGAGGAAGAGTACTCTTATCCCCTTATTTAAGAATAAAAGTGATGTACAAGAATGTGCCAACTATCGAGGGATTAAGCTTATGAGTCACACCATGAAACTTTGGGAGCGAGTGATTGAGCAAAGACTTCGAAGGACTGTGAAGATTTGAGAGAATCAATTCGGTTTTATGCCTGGTCGCTCAACAACTGAGACCATTCACCTTCTTCGGCAACTTATGGAGAAGTATAGAGATGCTCATAAGGATGTGCATTTGGTGTTCATTGACTTAGAAAAGGCATATGATAGGGTGCCTCGAGAAGTTCGTTGGTGGGCCTTAACTAGGAAAGGCATATCACACAAGTATATCAGCATCATCATGGATATGTATGAGGATTGTACTACAAGTGTTCGTACTAGTGTAGGGAGGACTGAAGAGTTCCCTATTACTATCGGAGTGCACCAAGGATCGGCCTTGAGTCCTTTCTTATTTGCCATAGTCATGGATGAACTTACGAAGTCAATTCAAGACGATATACCGTGGTGCATGATGTTTGCCGACGATATTGTATTGATTGATGAGGCGCAATCAGGTCTTAAAGCAAAGTTGGAAGTAAGTCGGAGCAAGACAGAGTACATGGAGTGCAAGTTTGGTGGAGGTAGAAGTAGTGGTAATAGCAGAATTACTCTGGATGGTAAGGTGATACCAGTCAGTGATATGTTCCGTTACTTGGGCTCCATAATTTAGAAGGACGGTGAGTTAGATGGAGATGTATCCCATAAAATCAGAACAGGGTGGATGAAGTGGAAGAGTGCGTCAAGATTTCTATCCGACCGAGGTATGCCGACTAGACTTAAGGGAAAATTTTATAGGACAGGAATTAGGCCTGCATTACTGTATGGCGTAGAGTGTTGGGCGGTGAAACAATGTCACATTCAAAAGATGAGTGTGGCAGAGATGCCCATGATGCGTTGGATGTGTGGGCATACTAGGAAGGACCGCGTGAGGAATGAGACAATCAGACAAAGGGTGGGAGTAGCACCTATTGAAGACAAGATGTGGGAGTCGCGCCTACGGTGGTTTGGTCATGTGCGTAGAAGACCGAGTGGTGCACCTGTTAGGCGAGTTGAGATGTGTGGAGAAGAGGCAGGGAAAAGAGGGAGAGGAAGACCTAAACAGACGTGGGTTAGGGGAGTTCGAAGTGATATGCTTCTTTTGGGGTTGGATGAGGGCATGACTTTGGAGAGAACTAAGTGGAGGGCGGATATTCACGTGAAGAAGTGATCTTGATAATCTTTTTCCCTCATCTTTTTTTTCCTAGTTTCTTATCCTTATATATATAAGCATTATTTGCATCCTTTTTATTTTATCATTTTTATATATATTCATCTTTTTTTATATTATCTTTTCATAATAGCTTATGTTGGGATATTGACCTAGAGGCCCAATACCCAGTTCGGGAAGGCCCAAGGCATCCGGCCCAAGTAACAGGCCCATCACTCCATGATGAAAAGGTCCAGTAAGGAGACATACCCAACGGGGTTCGGCCCAAATAAAGGTTGGCCCAATAAGAAAACATACCGAACGAGGTTCGGGCTAACTTGACAGCATCTTCAGTACGGACCAACATCCCGTTCGAACAACGACCAACCAGCAAGTGGCCAGGTGCAGTTAATGCCAGACTATGACATCAGCAAGTGGAAGCATGGATGACCAAGTCGGTGGAACAACGGCCAATCAGCAAGAGGCAGCCCATGCTCTCCATTAGTATAAATAGAAGGTTTCAAGTCATTGTAAGGGTTAGATTTTCGATACTCAAGCTCTAGAATAGCATCATTTGCTCTTATTTCTTGTATTAAAGCATAGTTTCTGACTTACTGATCGGGAAATCTTTTGTAATCAGATTGGTTAATTAATACAAGTGGGTTTTCGAGTTCTAGTTAATTCAGATTTTATATTTTCTCACACACTTTGATTCTGGGCCATTCCTGATA